AGCAGACGCAGACTGGGCTCTCGACTTGGCCAGTCTCGCAGACAATAGCAGGGGGCATGGCGCCATATCTGGCGAACCTGGGGCCGGCGTGGTACGCGTTGAGGAGTCTTGTCCGAATGAGGACGTTGGCGGGCAAGAAGGGATCGTGACGATGCTTGGCTCTTGGTTTGTTGAAGCAGAGATGGACAGGCGGTTGGTGGTCTGGTCGCGATTGTACCTCCCATCGATGCCTGCGGCATATTGCCCGCCGACCACATCCCGGCACTAAAACCCACGGAGATCAGATTGCCCGCGGTCTTGGCGGTTCATCGCCCATCTACGGGCCGCAACGTCCTTCCACCCTTGCAAGTCCGTTGGTGATAGCTGTTGACAATTCCGCATCAATGCCAGGACCAACAGTCGACTCGACTTAAGGCCGAGAATGTCGAGCGCGAAGACCGATGGTCGAGGATAGTGGTTCCGGGACATGTCCACTTGACTGTGACCTCGAACTGCTGTGGCCTCGCTTCGTACCCCAAAGGGACCTGCTGACCGGTCTCATGAAGTACATGGTTGGTGCACCTTTCAGGCTTGACTACGGCGTGCTGCCGTGTTCGACGGGGTTGCACACGTTCTTCATTTGTCCATGGGTCATGTTCGTCGCCACTGTGCTGACCACAATGCAACATGTCTGCCCTTCGATCAGGCGTGTTCATCCCAGCTAGTAGCGGTCTGAACTTGGTACACAACCTGGCAGCCAACCAGTACACCACCTCTTCCGCAGTGTACTGGAAGCAGAAGTGTCGTTCACGAATCGCATTTCCCCTTTCACACAACCGGTAGATGAATTGGTGACGCAGTTTGTCAGAGGAGCAATTAAAAAGCACCTAGACAAGCTGGTGATGAGGGCAAAGAAGGTAACACTCCCTAGGCATGCTCCTTCCTGGAGATGGATGACGAGGCTGAGCAAGCTCAGGTTCTATCTACGCTGATTGGCCACTTGTAGTGTGCCCCGCACAAAGTACTCTACGAGGCTGCGCTGGCTCTCGAAAAATCGAAGCAGTTGCCAGGTCCAAAAATCCACCCTTCTTTTACTTGCTTCACTGTCCAGATCCACATCTTCATGCTGTACAATCCGAATCTCAATCAATTCGTTAGCCCCAATACACATCGCATAACACACTTGGTCAAATTGCGATGGCCACGCCCCAAGGTCTCCCCCGCGAGACCTTCGCCAAACTCTCCCCACACCCATACCTTCTCGCCAATCTTCAGACTCCCCAAGCGGCAGGCGCAACGACACCGACGCGCAGTAACGGTCGGGCGCCCCACGAAGCTCGCACTCCCAACATCAACACGTCTACTCTGACCCACGCTCACGGCAGCGCCCTTGTCCGGATCGGCGACAACACAGTCATCTGTGGCATCCGCGGCGAGATCCTCCCGACCGCCAACATTCCCAACTATCGTGCCTCCATCCGCGACAGCGACGATGGCGGCCGCGCCGAGCTCCGAGACTACGACCTCCTCGTTCCTAACATTGAGCTGGCTACCGGCTCCGCACCCCAATTCCTGCCCGGTGTGCCCCCGACGAACCTCGCTCAGACTTTGAGCACCCGTGTCTTCTCGCTCCTTCACTCCTCTGGCCTCGTCAACGCGGACGACCTAAGGATATGGCACACGCGCCCAGCCGAGAACACAGGCTACAGCGCCGCAGATGACGAAGACGATGACATGGGCGAGCTGGAGGCTGGCGAGAGGGTCGTCATCGCGTACTGGGTGCTCTACATCGACATATACTTCATCTCGTTCGACGGCAACCCGTTCGACGCCGCCTGGGCCGCTATGCTAGCTGCACTGCGGAATACAAAGCTGCCAGCGGCACGGTGGGACCAGGACCGCGAGATTGTCGTCTGCTCGCGCGCAGAGCAGAAGCCGCTGACATTGTCAGGCTTCCCGATTGCCACTTCGGCTGCCGTCTTCCAAGGCAAAGAGCCCGGCCGCTTCTGGACACTGGTGGACCCGGACCGCCTGGAGGAAACTCTGTGTCGCGAGAATCTGACGGTTGTCGTGGACAAGAACGGCGGCGAGACGAAGCTCCTCGCAGTGTCCAAGCACGGCGGCACAACGTTACAGCCGAAGCTTGTCGGAGAGTTTGTGGCCGTTGCAGAGAGGCGGTGGGACGAGTTCCGTCGTGTGATGACCTGAGCATCATGATACCCCAATAAACAATTTCAAAACAAGGACGCACGTGAATAGCATTATGACACCTGAATACCGTGATTTGCAAGACATCACAAGAGCGACGAGATGTATTCCTCACATCGAGCTACCGTATCAGACGTTATTCTAGGCAGCAGATACTGGAGGAAGAAAGCAGTTTGTCTTCCGCCCAGCGTGGATCGCCTAATGAAAGACGTCGTATCCTGCCCGCGAGTCTTGTTGACAACTTGCGGTGGATGCTGAGCGGTTATTTCAGAAGAGAAAAGAGTAAAGCACCGAATTTCGTAACGACGAGAATTTGAGGCTCGGGCTCTACGGTGTTCCGATACAGTGCACACGGTACACCCCCACCAGTAGTTCTCCACTTCTCTAGCAGCCGAACTTGCCATCAATTTCTGCTTCGAGGTCAATCTTTCTCTTCGGTTTCCTTCCTTCACACCTCGCACCATGGAGTCCCTCGCAGAGACCGTCTGGGACGTCGTCATCTGCGGTACGGGGCTGCAGCAGTCCCTCCTTGCCTTGTAAGTTCCTGAGCCATTCAAGTACCACCTGCATCGTCATCAAGGCGACCTGACCTGACTGACTGACCCAGTCCTGGCGCTTCCTGAAGAGCTCTTTCGCGCTCGGGCAAGCAGATATTGCATCTCGATCCCAACGAGTACTACGGAGGCAATGAAGCGGCTCTCACCCTTCAAGAGGCAGAAGCATGGGTAGAGCAGTTACAAAAGCAGCAGCCTGCCGCCGAAGCGCCCATGTTCTCCTCCGCGTCCGCGTCACGGCAGGCAGAGGCCGGGAGCCCCCTCTCCTTCTCCCGCGCCTACTCTCTAGCCCTCGCACCCTTCATCCTTCACACCCGATCCACTCTGCTCTCACAGCTTGTCTCATCCCGGGCCTACCGCCAGCTCGAGTTTCTCGCCGTCGGCGCCTTCCACGTCTTTCGGCCAGGCGACGACAGTTCTGGTGGTTTGCCTCTGCTAACCCCCATCCCTTCGACGCGAGAGGCCATCTTCGCCAGCACAGCCATTCAGCCACGTCCCAAGCGTGCGCTGATGAAGTTTCTTCGCTTCGTGCTTGACCACAATGCCCCTGCCCAACAGGAGAAGTGGCAGTCCCGAGCCGACGATCCCCTCGCCGCGTTCATTGAGGACGAGTTCAAGCTGGATGCTGAGCTGCGCACCCTGATTCTGGCCCTCACCCTCTCTCTGGACGGAGCTATCAAAGTCCGAGACGGCCTAGTTGCTATCGAGCGACATTTGACCTCCATGGGCATGTTCGGTCCCGGCTTCGCTGCCGTATATCCCAAGTGGGGCGGCGGAAGTGAGATCGCGCAGGTCGGATGCAGGGCGTGCGCCGTCGGCGGCGGCGTGTACATGTTGGGCACTGGTGTCAAGAGCACACGTCCCCTGCAGGCTGACGAAGATGGCGCTCAGTTCGAGGTGGCGCTCGGCACGGGAGATGTGAAGGTCAAGACCAGGATGCTAATCCGCAGCGATCATGCGACGGCGGCGGAAGGGCAGGACACCAGGGTAGCCCGGCTCGTTGCAGTCATCAACTCGCCGCTTGCCTCTCTATTCGAACCCATTATGGAGGGCGGGCCCAACCCTGCCGTGGCCGTCGTCGCCATGCCTGCCGGCTCCGTGAACGACAGCGACGGCCAGCCGGCGCAGTATCCAGTTTACATCTTCGCTCACTCGAGCGAAACGGGTGAATGCCCTTCAGGACAAAGTAAGCGATTTCCCCACTCTCACCTCCAAAACATCTCTGCATCATGATGATTTTTTATAATCAAACTTATCCACATTGGCTGAGCGCTGCTTTGACGTCAACGATTACTGTTCTGTCTGATCTCTTGCACCTTCACACTCGTTATTCGCGATTTTCTTCACCTCCGATCCAGGCTAACCAGTGTCACAAGGCGTACTCTACTTCACCACACCCGCAACACCAAACGCTTCCGCCATTCTTGACTGTGCGCTTTCCTCCCTCCTCGCTGCCTTGTCAGGACCAGAGGCAGCCCAGGAACTCTCGTCGATCTACCAGCTTCGATATGAGCAAGCTCACAGTAGTCAGACACAGAGTCAGAGCTCCGCGACTGATGAAGAGGGCTTGGTACTTCTGCCAACGCTGCCGCTTGACTTGGCGTTCACAGACTCTACTTTGAAACCAGTCGAAGCGGCGTGGGCCAAGATCATGGGGTCTGCGGCTGGGCCAGATGAATTCCATGAGTACATGAAGTTTGAGGATCGTGAGGGCGTTGGCGAAGACGAAGACTAAGCCGGCCGGGTCCTGCTAGGGATTGTATGAAGTCATGAGCAAGAATACTTAATTGATAACGGATCACGCACTTGCATGCATGTTAACTGTGACCATCTTCAGATTGACTCATCTGAAACCATGTGATATGAAAACGCCTGAAGCAAACCCATAGATGAGTGATCAAACCCCCGATGGAACCATCTCAACGAATTCCCAGCCTCGGCGCGTCAACACAATATCATCAGAAACTCCCAAGTCGCAGCTGAAAAGATCATCTCCGCCATCCTGTCTGCGTTCTTCGTTAATGGACCCGACCAAAATCCGAACCCCGAGTTCTGCCCTCCTGATATCATGTCCATACGCCCCTGAACCCTTTTGCCATTCGAAATTTCAGCCCAGGAGTTGATCATGAATGCCGTGTCATTGTTGTAGTGTTGCCGGCGCTGTATCCGTAAAAGCCGAGTAAGAAACCACCCGCCCATTCCACCCTCAGAGGTGCCCAGAAATAGATTGACTTCAGAGACAAATTCTTCGCTTCCGGCCTAGTTGCTGTGGCTGTTCATCGAGGCGTCTTCGCCCTCGACCGACTCCTCAACAGCATGTTCGTCTCTTTTTGGGACCTCGACACCGATACGGATGATGCCGAATGGCCGGGTGTTCTCCCACTCCTGTTGCAGTGCAAGCATACCTTTGGTGCGCAAAGTTAAGATATGGTAGAATGCTTGTGCGGCGATTGCCTTGGAGTGCTCTTCCGGACGAGCGAGCTCCTCGAATTCGACCCACCGACGCGACGATTCCTCGCCATCACAACTCCTGGCCCGTCCGGTTCTCTCAGCCTGCGTTAAGGAGTACCGCAGGAAGCATTCGCTGTCGACATCGAGTGTAGTGCGCATCCACTGTGGACCGACTTCTTGTTGTGGGTTAACAGTGAAGGCAGCACCAACTTCCTCATCAATGGATGGGTCCTGAGAATATCCCCACTCGCCAACAAGTTCAGATCCGTGGTTTTCTAAGCCGATCCCGCTGCGTCGTTCGAAGGGTCGAGTGCTGACTTTGGGGCTGAGTGTGGGCTGACGACTACCAGTGCTCCACTGCTTTGAGCCGAAGACGCCAACAGAGGATGGACGATGAATGCTCGGTGTACGGTTCCAGGGCATCATTAAAGATGACATGCGGTCTTCAAAGTGCTCTTGTTCTCCCAGTCCCACTTCAGGCGGAAGTTCATCATCGTTGTCAACGATGAAGCCCATGTCCGCGTCCTGTTGACCCTGGGCGGGCTCTTGGGTCTCTTCACTAAGTCGAGGCCGGACGCGCCTCTCGTTGGTATTGTCTTCCAAATCGTTATCGAAGGCTTGGGTCGCAGACCTTCGACGGCTTTTTTCGATGTCAGAGGGCGTTGGCGAGCGTGCATCTTGATTATTAGGATCTCGGTTACCAAACACCAAGTTTCGAAGAGCATCGCCTGCGAACAAGTGCGCGAGAGGGTGAACGAATTCAGGAGACACCGAAGTTTGGCCGATCCCATGTATGCCCTGGCCGAAGCTTACTGCATAGGCATTGGTCCTTGCCTTTGCAATGCTGATCTTTGGTTTGCTCGCTCTTTCCCTAGCCATGCGCTGAAGATAATCATCCTGATTGCGCAAATGTTCTTGTCTCGAAATAACCGTACTTGAATCAAGGAAACTACGCGTTCCAGCGGTACGGATCTTACCTGGCCCTTTGGTGCCGGGGACGGGTTCCTCTTGTTCTGGGTCCGGCTGGGGTATAGGTGAATAGAGCTGCTGCTGGGCTGACATGGCGTTACCTGGCTCTTTCTCAAGCATAGGGACGTCGTCCTCGTTAGGAGGTGGTTGAAGTGGGTTATCGTCGCCGAAAGCTGGAATCTCCTCTTGGGCCATGGCCATGTCATTGTTTATGAATTGGTCTTGTTGAATCAGGTTGGGAAGGAGTTCGGGGAGACGGGGCTCCTCAAAGGGATCTGCGATGCCAATGATATTGCCCTCATCGTCGATATCGAACATAATGTCGCTGGAGCCCTCCAGGTCGTTCGATTGCTCCAGAGGGGCGATCCGTTCTTGGAGTGTGTTTCTCTTAGCCGATGAATCGACTCTGAATGGAGAAGCCAGGAAGAGGCTGCCGCCATCAGATTGAGATAGGTTGAAACTCATGATTGAGCCTGCCCGCCCGCTGTGGATGCTGCTGCTGTTCACAAGGCTGAGTTGCGAGAACTCTTTGTTTGAAGACGACTGGCTTGTGTTGAAGGCAGTGCCACCCCCGTTCAAGTTGAAAGCGGGAATGACAGGGTCTAGAACAAAGCTCGGGTCGTCTGGAAGTAAAATCTGCTCTCGTCTTCGTCTGGTTAGCATAGAGGGCTTCAATACTAACGTTGTAGTTCGTGCTCCCAAGGCATTTACCATTCCACAGCAAAGCTGAGGAAAGGCCATCACTATATAAGCAGAAGGCTAATGGGCGAGAAGCAACGACGCAAAGAACGCTGAGCAGGCCCTCGAGAATAGGTGCAACGCAAAATTTGATCAGAAATGAGAAATCTAGACTCACTCAACTAGACCAGCCTTGGGGTCGGTGTCATTTTGTGCGAGGAGTTGATAGAACATTTGCATGTCAGTCCGGGTTTTTTCCGCATCGCCCAGGACATAGACGCACTGCTGTGCAAAAACCCGCGACACGCCATACAACAAATTGCCCTGAACACGCAGGGCCAGGGGCGCGCCCGGCTGGAGGATCGTCTCGCATGCTTTTCTCACATTAACCTCCTGAATAGCCTTGCGGGTGACCTTCAGGGCGCCGCCCCGCGGACCAACTGTCGCGACGAGCCTGCAAAGCCTATCAATATCCTGTTGAATCGTACACTGAAGGATTGTGAAGTTTGTGTTTACCAGATGGTAGAGACGCCATGCCGAGGATTGGTCAGGACTGAGACTCATTGTAAGCCGAGTAATCTGCGTGCCAGGTCGCCTCGAGCTTACTGTCATTGCTGTAAAACATGGCGACAACGCGGGACCTGCAAGCCTTCGCTTAAGCCGTATATGTATTGATCCGCTCGAGTATCTGCAATGGGCCTCAAAGACCTGCTCGAGAAATATGGACTTTTGTTTCGAAGCGTCCTGCGCCAAATATGGAAAAGACTCTGGCGTATTGTGTCAGTCTTAGTCGTATGTCGGTCATGTGACTGCTAAGACTGCCACTATGATCGAGACTCAACCAGGGTTGTGCGGATGGGGAGACTAAGGAGAGACAATACTGCCACCCGGTGGAGGAATGGACGTGGTGGTGTGTTTCGCGCAAGAATAAAAATTTCAGTCCCCATCACAATAGAAAAGTAAGCGCAAGATGACGGGGGGAAGGAGCTTGAATTTGGCAACTGCCTCGCATTTGAACGAGGCAGGAGCACCCCCTTCCTCGTCCTACAAGCACATGCTTTCCCCAAGTGTGCCCCAGATCCTTCCTTGTTCAACAGCTGTCAACCCATCGCAACATTGAGTAGGTAGCCGGTTCTCTCAGATGATCACTCACAAATTTGTGCTAGCCGAATACTCCTGATGGCGTGTGTCACCAGCACTTTCATGTCGTTCGCCCAGTACGAACATTATGACTCGGACCATCGTGCCGCCAGTCCAGCTGGACAGATTTCGTGCCCGTGCTATAAAGTCATGAACAACCAAATCATGCAAATGTCAAGGCATATTGTCAACTCGAAATGCATTTCATGACTCCTGAGCTTTTTGGTTCCCTTTTCACGGGTATAACCTTTGCCAGATGTACAATCCTACTGATACATTCTCCAGCGTCAGTCTAGACCTGACGGCGTTCCTCTATCCATTTTTCTCATTCGGCTCAGAGCTCTGCCAACAAATCGTCTTTTACTGCGTCTTCTTGGCGCCCACCTGCTTTGCTGGCGCGCTGTACATCCAGACAGCGCTGAAAGACAGGAAGCCCAGAACGGTGATGACGATGCCTCCCAGTGGTGTCCAGGCGCCCGTAATGGCGTAAGAGCGAGTGAATTCGTCGTGAGCCATGTGGCGCACAGTGACGGTGTTCTTCTCGTAGACGTTGGAGAGGAAAGGGCGCTTGTAGTTTGTCAAGAAGTTGTAAACGCCATGCTGGTCCGGCAGGTCGAACGTTGTCTCGTACGTCGCCGCCTTGAGGTCGCTGTGAACTGGCTTTAGGTTGCGACGGTGGTACGCAGAAAGCATGCTGAACTCGACCTGGAGCTCATCGTCCTCAGGCACAAAGAACGGGCCCCAGCTGTCCCACGAGTACTCTGAAAGCGACACGGAATAAGACTGAGGCTTGTCAGATCAAACATGTTGAAGGCACGCATTAGTGAGGGAAGACTTACCACAGTGCTGTTGATCCTGTAGATGGAAGGGTTCAGGTCCTCGGGGGACTCCTTGAGGTAGTGCTGAATGCCGTTGACACGCAGAACACCAATCTCGTGGAAGGTCCAGCCGGCAACCCTCTTGGCGAACTCGCGGTTCCACGTCTTCGCCTTGTCCCCACCCTTGACCTGGACTTTGGCGTCGAACCACTTGTTGCTCAAGAGGTCTGCTGATCCAACCACGGTGAAGCGCGCAGAGTTGCGTGCCTGGAAAGAAGATACCAGGGAAAGCTGCTCGCCTGCGGCATACAGCTCGTCGGCATCGATAACGTCGCCCTGCTCCTTGGGGTTGTAGCTGTAGGCGGTCTTGGGGGCGCGCAGGATGGGGGTCAAAAGGGCGCTGGCGCCGAGAGTGTGGCCGACGCCGGAGGGGAATGCGATGACCTCGTTGATGGGCTCAGTCTCGGGGCGGAAGTATGACTTGACATCGGGTCGGACAGCGGCGGGGGCAGGGAGGACGAGAACATCGTGCTTCTCAGCGGCACTGAGGGTGTCGTAGTTGAAGTGGTCAACCACGAGGCCGGTCCTCTCAAGGGGGAGAGAGATATCAAACTCGGCAAGAAGGTTGGCAACGGTTGACGGGATCGTGGACGCGGAGCTCGTGGTGAGGAGGACGTTGCCCTCAGCATTCACGAACTGAACGAGGATGTTGGGGGTCAGGTTAGGACCAAGGCCTGGCGCTTGTCAGCAAACGGCTAATTCCGTATCCATCCATTGATGAGGCCGTACTCTTGATTTTGGAGGGGAACAGCAGAACGTGGTCAAAAGTTCGCTCGCCAAGGTGGAAGAGCTTCAGTGACTCGCTCTTGGGGGTTTCGTAACTGATCTTGAACCCGCGGCCTGCAGCACCTGTCAGTGATTGTGTTCTCCATTGGCTGCATGGAATTTCAGCGTTGGTGAAGGTGGCACATACTCTCCAAGTCGCCGAGGAACGTGGAGTATTGCTCTTTCTCTTCGACATCATCCAGCAGCACCAGTAGCCTCTCTCCACCTGTAGCACTGATGGCGTGCACTGCTGCGGCAAAGAGCAGCGAGAAGAGCGAGAAAAACGACTTCATTTTGATTCCTTGTCGTCTCGACTCGCGATAGGGTATCAAAGGGGGAGAAGAGATTGTGCACAAAGAATTGCGACAGCTTGCCTCTGATTTCGCTGTCGCAAGTGAGCTGGAGCTTGATCTCTCCAATCGTAGGTGTCTCGAAGCTTGGGGATACGTAGCCGATGCCAAGACACCCTCCACTGCCGGAACAACCCACCCCTGAGGGGCGCCCCACTTGATTGTGAGGGCAGTGATAATCCGATGTTCTTCCGGCCCTGGCACGAGCCTGGTTGGTTCCATCGCGAACGTCAATCAAGCACCTCAAAGCCAGCTTGAGCTTATTCAATTCCAACTGGCAGCACCATTACCGGTCAATTCAGTAAGCACCATCTTTCGGACTATATGGACAACAAGTACTGACCAATTCATCTTTGCCAGCACCGAAAATGACCTACGCGACCCCCCGATTCTGGGCTGCGCCCTTGACCTACCTCCGTTGGGCATCCCGCGAGCGTCCCGCCTACTTCTGGTCCATCGTCATTGGCGTCGCGGGCCCCGTCCAGCTTGCTATCGTCCCCCCCGTGAGGAAGATGCTTGGCGATGAGAACGCACCTCAGATTCCCGTTACATATCCCGGTAGGCTCACCATTCATGGAGTAGCGCGAGGCACGACGGCTGACTATGAACCACAACAGTACCCTCCGGCCCGAGGAAGCAGCTGACTGGCTACGATGACGAGTAATCAGCCATTGCGTGCGACGTTGAATCGACACATACTATTGTACATAACCTGGCGTTGGGGCTCTTCACTAAGTGTTGTTGGAGGACGTGTGGGATAGGAGGAAGGATTTGGTCACTCTTTCGTCCAGAATTGAGCAACCAGCTCCCGCATTGGAGCATGCGAGCGAGTCAGATTCAATGCACACCACATTTGCCTCTGCTGGTGACGACAGTCTAAGTTTTGGCCGCTATCTATGCCAGGCTCTCAGACCTGGGCCGGCACAGTATGACACGGCAGCTCAATACAAATCCTCCCATTCCATACTTCATATCGATACTGCTCTTCCGACGAAACATCCAGATCTTGTTCCCTGCGTGAACGGACTCTATCTGTCTCGCTGCACAAGATTCCATTCATACTACAAGCATGTCAGTCATAGGCTTCGCCAAACGCCAAACGGGGTCAGGGTAGCTCTTACCACTCGTCCGTCGTCGTCCCCGGTGTAGACACAATGGGGCAACGGAGTGACGCAACTGATACCAGCATCATAATTCTGCCCTGACTCCGAGCGAGGGTCAATGTGATCGAGGCGCCTGAGGAGCTCGAGCGTCCATTTGCCGTTCCTTATAATTTTCCTCCAGACGTTGACGCGGCCCCTTCGATGGCCCGTGAAAATGAGTGAGTTTTCCAGCCACTCGCTGGCTGTGCCTTCATAGAATGCACAGGCGTGGACAAAGTCATCCGGCTCCATACACACGTTCTGATCCAGAATCAGGGATCCGTTGATGGTGTACAGCACAACGTTGGGTCCGCTGCACAGCATGATCTCACCCGAGACGTCGTTGATCGCGGCACATTCGACTTGTCGAGCAAGGGGTAGCTTTCGTATAAATTCCAATCGGTTCATGTCCCACAAGAATGCCTGACCATCCGCGGAGCTGGACACAAATGTGCTAAAGGACTTCGAGACAGCTATTGTTGTGACCGGCGCTTTGTGTCCGAAGAGCGAGGATCGCGGTAGAAGATCTACTGGGCGGCCCGGCGCTGTCTGCACAGCATACACCGAGATGACACAGTCCTCGCCGGCGGTAATCAGTGTCTTCGAATTCGCGAAAACTACGCATGAAATTTGACCGATGTGGAGATTCTCGAACATTCCCGCAGCCTAGCACAAAGTTTAGCAAGTCGTTCTGTTGGTGATGAGCGTCACTGTTCATACCTTTCGGTTGTCGCTGAAGAAGAATCGAATGCTATTATCAGCGTAACCCCATTCTAACCACTTGTCGTACGGCGGGACATTGAGCCGGAAAGAAGAGGCACACAAGAGGCGATCGAGCTTGTTGGCATAAATAAGTGTAGCAACCTTGTCGTGAGATTCTGTGGTGGTATTAGCTCCGTCATGGTACAAACTCGTGCCCAATCACCTACCAAGCAAAGGATGGGGTAGTCGCGTCAAGGCATAAACGGACGTGTCCAGTCTCCGGGGAGGGCTTTGACCATTATCTCGCTGCGGATGTGCCCTGGAAAATACCTGGTGAGGTGTCTGGCCAAAATTATGGATGACACCCGCTGCGATCCTTCGTTCTTGTGGGTCGCTGATATTGTCCAAGTCGGTAGCGCCTCTATATGAGAGGTGATGGAATACGTTCAGGTTGTCGACGGCAGCCTCGCCTCTTTGTTTCAGGCCAAAGACGAGGTCGATCCAGCTGTGTAGGTGTTGGCTGACATAGGGACTCTCCAAAGCTTCGCGGTGCTTGGCAATGAATATCTTCGGATCACCCTTGGCCCACGGCGGTAACACCACATTGTCGACCTTTGTACCAGTGCTTTCTCGGTTTCCAAAATTGTACCCATTGATATTTGTCAGAAATTCTGGCAGGCAGAAAAATTCTGGAATCAGCTCCCTGACATCGGCCTTGTTTTCGCATGATGCAGATTTCCAAGCCTGGGGGATGGACTGGAACAGCCTATCAGCATGATCGAATGATCCGCCCTGCAGCAGGATGTAAGATTGGACGAAGGGCGGAAGCCGGATGAGATACGACGAGACGATCATGGCAGAGGAATAGTGCGTTCCATAATGGAAGGGCGTTTCTCCTATCTCTTCCAAGGCGTTGTAAGATTCCTTGAAACCAGAGACTCGACCGGATGTCTGAGCTCCCATAGGCTTGGAGAGATCGCGGAACGTGGCGGGGTCGTTCAAGTTGAGCTCCTCACTGGTGTAGTCAGCCAGCACCCAAGGGAAAACGGGATACTGCGTTAGATCATTGAAGGTACGGCCAGCCATTGTGTTGACGAGCATGAGGTAGTGAAAGTTGGAGATCTCCCCCTTTTGCCATTTCTTCATCGAGGGGTTCCATGGCGCAGTATTGAAGATGTTACCGAACTTAGAGCTGAGCCCTTGTGGGGATTCTTCAAAGACCTTCAGAGTCTCGAGTCTCCAGCCATCTTCTGGATTGGGTAGTGAACTCGCTGCGTATGTGTGCGGCGCTTTATTCATGAGCTTTCCGAACAACTCGTCTCTTGATGGAGAGTTCATTGTGGTAAGCAAATAGCTTCGTCCGTCCGTGAAAAATACTTCGACAGCAACGTCGCGGAAGAGGAAACGTCGCTTGGAGATACTGATTACGTCGTGCCATCGCCAACTCCTCGACTCCTGTTCGCTGCGGCCCAGGTTTTGTCGCTTCTCTGTGGTCTTCGCATCCGTGATGATTTCTGAGAAGGGGTCGCGCTCATCGGGTGGGGCTTGCCATGCGTTCACGATCTCCCCAGAAGCGCATTGAAAAACATTGTCCACAATGTACATCGCATCCTTGCCGATGATCAAGATGCCCTCGCATGCTTCTAGGCCAACGATGCGGGAAACATTATAGACTGCCAGCACTTGATCACCTTGCTCGAGACGCCGCATGACTTTTCGATTCTTGTCTTCGAAGCCATCATCACCGTCAAAAGCATCATTTGGATCATCCACAAGCTCGAAATCATCTTCCGGCGCGACAACTGACCCGGAGGTTGCAGCCTCGGCCTTGGCGAAGGTAGCTTCAGAGTCATCTTCGAGATCGTTGCTGTCAAGACCTCGGGCCAATGAAGCTTTGGGAGCTGTGGGTGTAGCTGAGGGAGGCGTCGGACTGATCGCCACGGCTGTATTCAATTTTGGTGCGGATCCAATCGCGCCGTCGCCGGCCTTTCGCTTTGGTTGAAACACCTCGTGATCTCTGGAGTAATCGGGCAAAAGTCGGAGGCGCATTCGATTTCGACCCTCCGTCCGATCAAGCTTCCACTTGAGATGAGTGTGCTCACTGAAAACAGCGCCTGGACGATGAAGCTCCCGGTCCATTTTGGTGAGTGATGAGGCCAAGAAAGCCATGTCATCCTGCTGGTCCTGCATGAGACGCTGATGTTTAAAGTGCTCACTGTTGAAGATACTCTTCATCCATGAGCTGTTAGCCATTTGGTGTCTGATCATGATATTGTCTGCCATGAGGGCTTCGTTGTGCCACGCCTTGAGGCGCTCCTTCCGTCTCAAAAGGCGCACTCTGCCACTTTCCATGGTTCTCTGATTTTCGATGGCAACGAAGTCTTCCCATGTCTTAGAGATACCACCAAAGAAGAAGGCGTCCAGCGATGGTCGTTGTTGATCAACCCAATCGACGAACGTTTCGTTGTCGACTTCAGTCAGCTTTTTGAAATCTGCCGTCAGCTTCCGTTCGTCACTTGACAAGCCTTGTCTGAAGAGCGCAGTGGTTTCCTCAGGCTTCTGTACAAGCATAATCCGCAGGATGTTAGCTGCAGCTAGACGAATAGACTCCCGCTCGTCTACAAGTTTGGTATACAGCTGGTACCAAAGTAGTCGTGTATACTCATCATCTCCAGATAAGCACCCGAGGATCGAAGTCTGCCAGTAGAACAACCTCCCCATGAACCTCGTCGCATCCTCTTCTGGCGTCTGAGGGTCGTCCAGCTCAGAGAAGCGGAGGAGGATGGCTTTCATGAACGAATCACGTATGGTGTTGACGGCTTGGTGACACAGGCGGACGCTCTTGAGAGACGATATTTCAGGCCGTTGAAGGTACTCTAAGAGCATGCCGCCAAGCTCCATCATGACTTCTGCGCCATTCAAAAACCAACCCTCGAAGATGGCTTCCCCAATGTGAGTGCTGAATCGGGCCATGTTGGTGAGGACTTTGGGTTCGCTCAGTATATCCTGTTTTAATTGAATACTGTTGCTCAGATGTTTGATGGTGTGGCGAAGAACATAGGACTCGAAGTAGGCTTGGTGCTCCTGGAAGCCTGGCGGCACCTTTGAAAAGAGCCCGAAGCCCGGAAATTCCTTCCGATTCAGCACTTGATCCATGAAAACGTTGATGACCAGTTCCAGGAGACCATCGCGAGTAGCACCGCTCGTGTGCTGGGACGATGTGGTCCTGGCGTGTTTGTTTTTCGTCGATGCGCTGTCAGAAGCTTGCGAAGCAGTGGAGAGGAGGATGAAAGACGATGCTTTGCGGAGAGGAGTGCCTCGTAAATTTGTCTGTGGCGTAGTCGGATCCTCGATACTGCTCGTTCGAATGATCGGAGACGGGCCAGACGCAGCCAAAGGTCGGATGATGACATCTGCCCCTTCGAAAGTAAGGGTCGAGTCACGCGATCCCAGTTCCGTCTCTGGAGTCAAAGCATCGGTGCTAACAACAATAGGATACAATGCAGAGAGGAGCTGTCGAACATAATCAGAGGACAGAGCAAAGTCTCTGAAATCAGAAGACCGAGAGTGAAGGTCGGACAAAAACTGTATGACAGTATTTAGGGTCGATGCGTGGCTCATAACCCGTTCGCTGGGCTTTCGTGTGTGGTCTGTTCATACATCAGTAAAATCCTTTCAATCAAGGTAGTCCATCATACTTCGCGATTCCAAAGCTGGCGCAAGTTCCATAGACCTTGCGCGAGGCCGGGTCTCGACCGCGGTACCGCGAATTGTCTGAGCGATTGATGAGCTCTCCTCTGCATGAGGGGAGTTGGGGTCTTCCTGATTCCTGAAAACATCCTTGAGGCCGTTCTGAAGCATTGAGATGATGACAGGGAGAGCCTCAGGATACACAACCTTGGACTTGCCGAAAATCTCCAGCAAACTGAAGAACTCAAAATCCCGAGTGAAGTCAATCTCAGCAACATCATACCCAAAAAGAATGCTGAAGCATATTGGCCACAAGGTAGGGAGATCCCACCAGCGCTTTAGACGATTCGCCATGATCGTCAAGCCCCCAGTCTTGCTTGCGAACTTGGAAGTGTACGCGGTCCCATGAGTCACTAACAGTCGTGCAAGTGTCTTTGCTCCGTACACGACCGTCTCGGCATCGTCTTCGGCCAACAGGTATAGCAGCCACTGGTCCATACTCAGTAAAGCAGATTGAGGATCGTCGGGCATCCTCACCTTGTTCGTTACCGTCCTGGCGAACTTTCGTATATTGGTCAAATTGCCTTTCTCGCACAGCAAATCGGCGTACATGCCTAGAACTTTGGTGCCCAACTGCTTCTTGGTGAGATATCGCGATGATGGAGAGCTCGAGGCTACACTTCCGACAGGTGCGTTCACGTCAGTTGTAGACCGCCGCACGAGGCCGCCGGGAGTGCTGGATCGACTGATGATGGACAATGGTTTTGGTGTCCTCGAGGCAGATGATGCGGGCGAATGGAAAGCATACGTGATAAAGAGGGCCAATGCACGGTGAACCTCAGCTGTGTAATTGCATTTGACGAGTTGTTCCAAGGCTTTCATCAGATGAGAAATGACGTCTTCTGAAATCATCTCGGCTTTCATGGCATCAAGCAGCCTCTTCACAATTCCTGCTTACTGTTAGCTGACACATTGCGACGGCTTGAAGCTACACCTACTCATGCGTATCAACCGGCGACCGTTGAACTGATGATACTTGCTCATCACAGAGAATGTGACGAACTGCTTGTAGTAAAGCTCTTGGGTGAGAGATGCGGATCGTCTCCAGGTGTCAAAGTCGATGAGGAGAACGCGGTATGCTAAAGGATTAATGATGAACGACTCGAGTGGCTCCTCGTGGTTGTAGCCAACAAATTCAAGGATGCGGCTTAATAGTTGCAAGCTCAATGCGTCTCGCTCGGCAGTTGAAATGGCCAGGCGGAGGTTAACGCTTTCAGCTCCCAAATTGGCGCTGTACCCGAGTTTCGCTCTCAGCAACATGCCGAGAATGGCATAGCCATTGTCTCGCTCCATCGCCTCGCTGTTCCGCCAGCTCTTCTTGATACATAAGAAAAGCATCTCGACAGCGCGAACAACATCCTCTACCGTGGAAGCACGTTCAACAATCTTGAGACCCAGCGGGGTGAAGCCAGCCAAGCGCCAAAGGTTGTCATCAAAATGCGAGGGTGTGATGACGACCGGGTCTCCTATCAGTACCGCAACGCCGTGAGTCCTTGCCAAAGCATCCGGCAGGGATGGCAAGGCGGCATTGATTGCAATCGCAGAACCACTGCGATGCGTCATCTGGATAAGATTGGCAGCAGCTGCTCTCGGCAGTGAGCGGTGCAATTGGGTGTCTTGATGCAGACCATCTTCCCGAAAGACCGCAGTTGGGAGAATGCTAAGGAGTGTTTTGCTTTCAGGTAGTAGAGTCCCTGCCTTTTCGCGAATGGCCCTCAAGATATCAGAGCTCTCGTCCTTGCCCGGGTGAAAGACCTCATTCCGGAGGCCCAGGTTGGCCGATGCCTCATAGGTTTGGAATCCTCCCAAGCTGTCTTGGTAGTTGCCCTGATAGCGAGCGCCCAGCGCATGATGAACAGCAATCAGATCGTCGCTCAGCACGTCCTCAAAAAGATGAGCAGAGGCGAGTGACCATCTTGACAGGACCAGGCCTGCACCCAGCCGGCTGGCGAGTCCCTTCGGTGTGCCAAGAAACGCCTGTACTGGTTTGGGTTTGGGTGTGGCGGTGGTGAAGGCCGAAAATCCATCTGCTATTCCGTTGGAAGACGGAGGGGGCGTGGGATATGCACATTTGAGCTGTTCGACAAACTCGCCATTGATATAGAGCGAGGCCTTACTTGCAGTGATGGTCTTGGGCCGTTTGTGAACCAAAGTAATGTGATACCATTGCCGTTCTTTGAAGGCGACAGACTTGAACCTCACACTTGGGCGTTGCGTCTTCACAGAAGTCTGGAGGATGAAGTTGCGCGTGTCCCTTTCGAGATAGATGAGGAGGAAGCACGTCTGGGTGGCATCGCAGACACCGAACAAGGTTGTGTGAGAAGAAGGATCGAACCTGTCAACCCTCACCCATGCCGTGAATGTGTACCCTGGTGATGTGTTGGGCGGGAATGAGCGCCCTAGGGTGGGCAGTTCAATAGATGAGTGGCCATGCAAAGATAAATCAAACTGAAAGAAAGGGGGACCGCTGTACGTGGAAGTCATTTCAAGAGCAAAATCAGATGCCTCAGAAGATCTGCTGGCGAGAAGAAACTGAGTATCGGCAGGTTGATTGACACCCAGATACATCAGTTTCTTGCAGAGTTGCAGTACTTTCTCCTTCTCGGGGACGCTGAGCATGCTGTTGTCAGTGAAATAAACGCGAAGGAATCGCGACAGCACCCCAGTGGAATGGAGCGCAGCCAAGTTGAACACCGAGACGGACACAGCTGTGGACAGGACATCAAGAACGACGAGGGATGTCAGCTCAGCTGGGATGTCAGAGCCCCGTGGTATTGATTCCCAGAATCCAACCACGGTCCGTATGATCTCCGGATTCCGGAAGACGCTGTCTTTCTGAATAACATTGCGTACCTCGTGCGCAATGTCGAAAGCCGGCTCCTCGATCGCTGTGGCCTCCGAATTGCCTTCTGCTGTCTGACTCTTCGTGTCTGAGGCTGGGTGGCTACTGCTGTCAGGTATCGACTGAGCAACGGCCTGACACAGATCATCCAGCCGTTTGTCGCCCAGCGAGAATGACAGGAGCTTGCCAAATATTTGATATTGAGTCCAAGGGTCAGAGTCACTGCCGCCAAGGCCTATGCTGGCTGTTGTCTGCTCGAGAGCTTCCCACCCGCCTCGTTCGACCCGATTGCGAAAGTAACGCTTATTGCCTGGGTGGTCGCGGAACGCGACAGAAAGAACATCCAGAACAGCTTCTAGTAGCTCAAATAGCTCTTTTTTCTCCGATTGCGTTCGCGTCTGTGGGTTGTAGAAACCGGAAAAGGCTCGAAGGACTTCCAGCAAGCGGTAGAAGCCTCGAAGGTATCGGAAATCGTCTTGAGGTGAGCTTGGAGGGTCGGCGGCGGCGACATGTTGGCGTATGTGGTTGAGTGTCTTCAAGAGAGTCGGTATCTGCGGGTAGCCGGTCGAGGTCGGATTTTGTGCACCGGCGCTCAGCTTATCTAGGAGTGCTCGCAGAATTTCCGTGGCTTTGGAGGTGTTGGCGGGGTTCGAGTTTGAGGTAGACGAGCGGTATCGTCGCGGTAGGGTTGCCATTTTTCTTCAATTTCGGTATTCCTTCATTCCAATTCTTTCGGTCCCAGCACCCTCCGTGGGTCTAGGTAGCAGTCAAGGCGCTCTGGCATCGGCGTTGGTATTTGCGTTGTAGGCTTCGCGTACAAGATCGAAGCTCGACTGGTCGATATCGATGGAGAGTCCGGAAGCTTGCAACTGGTAGGAGCCGTTCGGTCGCACAGACGTGCGCAGGGTGACAAGACTACCAACAAGAAGCACGACAGCCCTCAAAATCCAAGGCGAAACGGTCCAAAGAGACGATAAAGGCGTATACGTAGGCGAGTCGAGTAGCAGAAACCTTGCCGTTGTTGCATGGAAGCTCAGGTGTCAGCCTCAAATGCAGTGTGGCTCATCCTGGCTGTCACGCCCCGCCGTGAGCCAAGCGTAGTGGGGTTCATAGTGGCAGTGCGAAACCCAACCAGGCAGCCGCTTGGCGACGGAAAATGGTTATTTGCTCAGCCCAATAAGGGCAAAGCTACAATCGATAGGGAAAAAGCTATAAGCATAGCTGAATTCCGGAAATTGGCTATAGAGTTAATATACCTAATCTTTTTTCTCTTACACTCGAGTATCTCGATAAATTCAGAGTGTAAAACTAGTTATAACTACGTAATAGATAAATTAATAAAGGGCTAGTAAATAGCCCTTAAAGCTCTATAATTATTTCATATCTCTATTAAATTTTAAGTATTTAATATAATAATAGTCCTAATTACTACTTATTTGAAGCTCTTTAGATAGAATATTGAAGTGGGGTGAGCGAAGGCTCCCTCTGATCAGGGCAATGTCGACAGTCACTTGAGAAAAAGGTAGCTGCTTCAAAGTGTGATGTTTGATTGATGATGCCCCTCCTTGGAGGCCCTCGCCACAAGTCTACCTAATGTCCGTTCCCCTGATCAGCCACTCCTCACACTAATACAACCTGCCCGGTTTCAATATATATTTACTACTTGATTATAAGATAACCCTTTCTAGTACTTCCTATTGTAAGTAAAGTATAGAGATAGTTATATAACCTTATTCTACTTCTCAAAGTATTAGAAGGCCAGAGGGTGCATGGAGAAAGGGAAATCTCGTAGTGAAGGACCGTAGGATTTAATCCAGGACTAGCTGGTGATTGCTCCAGGTTGCTTAATTGCTGATACTGGAATCCTTTCGGGACAAGGGCTTAGTTGGTATTTCAGGAGGGAGGAGCCACTCACAGCGTGCAGTCAGTCTCGGTTTCGACGATGCAAACCACGGGTGCCCAAGGGTACTACTTGGTAAAAGCTCACCGCTCACGCGGGCCCTTTATAAAGAACCTAGGATTGGCACCTATCGTTCAACCTCACATTGGACATCAAGATCAATCAACATGCCGTCAATTAGCTCGTCTCAGCCGCACCTCAACGAATCTATACGGGAAGTCGATGAATACTCCTGGCTAATCTCAAATATCTTTCTCCTTACTCGTTCGTCGTCGCCACCCCCCGAAGAAGTTCCAACCGACCAGGTGTGCTGGAGCGACAGCAATGGGGGCCATTTCACCCTCGACGTTGTGTCTGAGCCTCTCCCGGATTCCAAGCCCCTTGCAGAAGACCCATCTTCTATCTCGATAGTCCACGCAGTTGACAATCAGGCAGCCGTTTGGCGGGCGGGCGAAGCGTTCATTAAAGCGCATCACATCGACTATCCGGACGTGACCAGAGAGCATGTTACTCTACAGTTTCTCAAAGACCAGAAGCCCCAAGGTTTTGTCTTTCCGACTGTATTCCATCACTTTGAGACAAACTCGCGATACTTCCTTATCGTTTCGAGAATTCCCGGCCAACTTCTTGATGAGGCTTGGCCCAGCCTGGACGAAGCTGAACGTCAGTATTACATCGCCCAGGTGGCAGAGATTTGCAATCGCCTAGCAGCATGGAAGGGCGATATCATCGGCGGCGTGGATAGACGCCAGTTGTTGGAGCGTTATCTCGTCAAAGGCAACAGCAAGATGACGGATGCCCTTTCTCCACAGCAGCTTCTGAAGAACTGCACTGAGATTTCTATGGACATCTCCACACTTGTCTTTTATCACTGTGATCTTGGCCCTACCAATATTCTTGTCGATGCCTCGACAGGCTCGCTGGGCATCATCGATTGGGAGCTTGCTGGCTATGTTCCCATCGAATGGGTTAGAACCAAGTTTCGCCTCTCGGCAGGAATGGATTTTACTCATGGGGATGAAGACTCTAGAAGGGATTGGCGCCGTAGAGTCGCCCAGCATCTGGAAAAGATAGGTTACGACGATGCTGTGGATGCATGGCGGAAGTTTCAGAACAGCAAGTAGACATTGGTATTAGTTTCAACTCCTCTTCTCTTGGCAGTTTCCTTATTTCACCAACCCCTTATTCCCCTTGGGGTCCCCAGACAAGAAGGCAAAGTCCAGACGAAAGAGGATATTAAGCTATCGCCAGAGATATGGAGTGTGAAACCTGATCCACTTATGTCAGGAGGCCCCTCCAGAGTCGCGGAGCATGGGGCTGGTTAGCGGCTAGGGACTACGAGAACGTGCATATAAGGACTGCGGGGGGCTTCCTAGCTGCGGAAGGTTAGAATTCAGATTGATTCTGCCTCCATGCATATTATCCATTGCCCCTGGACCTAGCACGAAAAACCTCTCCACTCTGCTCAAACCATGCTCTGTCAACTTGCTACCTATATACAATAAGTAACACCAAGTAGTGCACGCAGGGCTTGGAACAGGGATTCTTCAATGTTAAGACTGATGCATTTCTCAGACAAACCAGCATAAATCCCATTATGCAAATTCAACAGCCTGTGGCAGTCCTCTTACATCGGGTGTTGGCCACAAGGCCCAACGCGCAACCAGCTCTGAAAACGGCCAGATGTGATATCTTCGGAAGAAATTAAGTCGCGGTTAGGGCGGAGGTGAAATAATGACAAGTATTGGCCTGTGCTATGTGCCTTAGATTTTATCTATTGCATCAAATTTCATGTTACGAAAGTCCCGTCCCATTTGAAATTCATCGATGTGCCTAGTGGAGCCGATGAATCGGTGCAAAAAGTCCTAAAAGCTGGTCGAGATGCCGCTATTGTACTTGACTGGAAGTGCACTGCGAGCTAATTATCAGAGCGTTATTTAGAGCAGAGTAAAGGGGTCTTCCGCAGAGTCCGCAGATAGATAGAATATAGGTATAGGATAGGAATATATCTGAATTCTAGCCCTCCGTAGCTTAGGGGGCCATCCGCAGCCTATATATACGTTCTCTCCGGGCCCTTAGCTCCCTAGCTAGCCCCTTAGCTTGGCAGCCCCTTGGTGGCTCCGCAGGGGTCCTGACACCAATGCACTGCACGTCTCTCTCCCTTCGACGATTTGTGCGTCGTGGACGTTGCTGATGCCTGCAAGGGGTGGACCTCGTTGTTGCTAGTTGGAAGTGTCTGTTGGCGGATGCTTCGGGCATAGACGCAGTTGACGAATATTAGTCTAATCAAAAGTCTCACTTCGTAGTATGGTAGTTGATTGTGCGGTACCGATGATTTTTATTTGATAAGAATACTGAAAATTTCCTGTTCTATCCTTTTCGTTGCCTGCAGCGTCCTGCTGACCCCGAAACCCATACTTAACCAAATATTTCGATACTCAAAGGGATCGAATCTGATGTGGTTTACAGGCCTACTCCTTGACAGGAAGGGGAACACCCGAGAGAATGCAGTCAAGGGCAGAGAGAATGACGCGGACGGGGCTGCGAGCGACTCATGTCAGCACCTGAACATTTGGTTTTGAGAAGTGCTGGAACAACATACCAGCCGAGAAGATCACTCAGGAGCGTGTCAGCATCAACGCCACCAGGGACGCAGGAAGTGATGCCGGCGATACGCAGGAGGCAAGTTGGGTTCAGAGGAAGACCAGGCAGGCTGGGAATGACAGGAAGCTGGCGCTCCTCAACAGCGGGAGTTGCCGCAGCGAGGGCAAGGGCAGGAAGTGCGAGGATGACGGAGACCTTCATGGTTGCTGGTTGCTGTTGGAGTCGCAAAAAAATGTGAAAGCGTTTGTAGGTTGAATGTTGTTGTGAGAGCTAATGACAAGATGAAGAGAGATCGGTAGAAACTTGCGGGAAGGCCCAAGGTTTTTATATTCGCTTGCCGCGTGGATCAAGAGTCAATTTCCGGTGGATATACTCTCACCTCAGGATTTGAGATGAGAGCAATTCGCAGCAACACACTCGTCGTGCATCAAGACTGAAACATCCCCTATCGCTGGACTGTACCTCGAGCCTGGAGAAACATGGCGCTGTTTGTGAACCATGTGACAGAGTCTTTTGTGTGAGTGACGTGCTATCGAATGGCACATGAGGTCGGAACTCGCCAGTACATACTTCCGGCCGGTTGAAAGGCTGGCAATGGCTCGGCGCGTGCCGCAACGCCAGCCTCAACGGCGGCTTAGGGAGCGAGCCTGTAGTAGAGCGGGTTTAGTCTGTCTTGCTTTCAAATCGTGGGGGTAATGTGGACATGGGACATGAGAAGTGACATATGATGAGTTTATGCCACCATCTACCAAAGCTCCCAGACTGTTGAGGGTTGCTGGGGTTTCTCAACCGGATGATTGCCAGCGCACATCCCACATTACCCGATCGTCTCGCATGTGTCAGACCGCGATCTCTGATAACGTATTTGTCGTTATTCCTCACTTTCGAGCTAGTTTAGATACAACTAGAATACAAAAACAAAATGTCTGTTTTACGATGATTCACATGTGATGGAAGTCGGCAGACCTCAAAGTACTCGTGTTGTGATCCAAGCCTAGATACAGAGCAACTTCTCCAGGAAGTGCACGGGAAGAACAATTTGTGTACATATCTCTCTAGACGTAATGAAAAAGACGATATTGGTTGTATACACCGGAGAACCACGATAACTATACGCTTTACAACTTCTCCGAACTGCGTCCATGTCAAAAGGAAGGGTGTTTTGCCACTTTTGTAAAAGCACATGGTCCATCTAGCCTTTCTCGACCCGGTGATCTCCGGTAAGGAAACGACACTTCATTTGTTACATCGAAAAGCCGGGGTTGCGATTGTCTGTCAATGTGGTATAGCTACTTCTATCCCTGTTGAAGTCCCGTTCCTCACATTCCGCGCCACAAGACAGTCCACTTGCCCAGGTCCTCATGTTGGTAAGATGATGACGACAGTGGACAGGAGTATGGAGGATGAAAATCCATGTCGGTTCTAGCATTGGAAGAGGTCCATATGTCGCGCGGGTGTACCCGCCTGCAGTCGCAAGACAGTGTCTTGCTTGTGCTAGCATTGCACGTACTTGTGTCTCAACACCACGACCAGACGGCACTGAGGCGGAGCGCTGTCTCCGCACACCAGACGGTTCTCACAACTCCACGAGACATCAATCCCTCGAGAAGATAAAGCACTCGTGGCGTGACGTGCTTCGATTGGTTCCTTGACGGCACTTCTGTCAGGTCAAACTGACACGTCGCATTTCTGTTGGCTCCCTGCTTAACGCTACGTAAGAAATGGTCAATAGGTGCCTTCACATCAAAATTTCATACATTCCTAAAATTATGATGGACGAAATATGTTCGCTGTAGGCTTCCTGCGGATCCACACAGAAAACAGTGCTTGGCGAGACATCACTGGCGGTCCAGACGACAATTCGGAAGGCGAAGTTGCAATCGGGATGCCAGGGTTCACTCCTTGAGGCTGAAGGAATGACGGAAACAAGAATGGGCGCAAAATCGGAGGGAACAGATCAACGAGCATTGGAGATATCGAGTCCTTGACCCAGGAGCATCATCTAACATCGTTGTCGGGGCAAGCACCTTGATTTGGATAACTCCTGCTTGCAGCTCATGGACAGGCTGAATTGCCAACCTCATAATTGTCTATGCACTGGTATACGCACAGGAGTTCAAACCATGATGTGTAAGCGCTTAGGAGAGGGCCACGGCGATGATTGATGGACATTTCACAGGAGGTCTCTTTTCAAATGGCAGGAATAACAATAATGCCTCCCTGCGTCTCGATCACATGACCCTCTCCTGTGTCATGTTCTCTTGATGATCTTACTTCTCGGCCATAGATGTATGCCGCAACCGATTTCAATGCTGTAATTTTTCGATCCTGAAGCCCGTGAGTTGGCCGCGCTGATGTGAAGAGCTAATAGAGCTCTGACTCTCTGAGCATGATATTTGATTGTCGATTGGATAAAAAAAGGCGAGAATCTTGCATCATTAGGTACTGAGGACAAGGAAACCTGAGAGTCCATAATCACCCTTCCGCAGAGTCATGGCATGTGTCAGAGCGAGGGAATGAGCATAGTGAAGAGGTCTTCCGCAGACGATATCTGCAGTCAACTGTCGGGGAAGGGGTCAGAAAACATCTGGAATTCGGCCCTCCGCAGCTAAGGGGAAGACCTTGTATACGCTCTTTCGGGGCCTCAGTCTTTTGAAACAGTTCTCTGGGGCCCCCTGTTGCTCGGCTCAGCAGGTGCCTCCCGATACGTGACCATCAGTGGCCTGGACAGCACTGGCGACCTTGTTCTCCTGCAGGCGGAGCAGATAGCCTTCAGAAGGCGAGACAGGCTGTAAATTTCCATCGGTATCACGAACAGAAGTCGCTCGAGGTGATCAGTGTATCCGCACTCCATGCTGTGGTTTGGTTCGATGATGAACACCTACATGGGAGATGCTGACCAAGCTACGGGCGTTCCGTCCTCTCAGGCGTCGGCGGCACTAGGAATAGATGAAGCAATTGTTGATTCCTTCGCATCCGAGACACAGTCCAAATGAAATTCTCTGGGCCATGTTTCTACTTTCAGCTGGGTTTTGCATTGGTGCGACGTGTACTGATGGTGGTTCGTGATGCCTTGAGGGGTCATCTAGCAGACTCGAGACCCGAGGCGAGCACGGCCTGGGTCACTACCGGGAAGGCGAAAGAGCTTGACTTTTGTCCTTCAGTGCCACTGGATGGGTGTTCATCAGCACGGCGAGACTCGGTACTAACGAGAGCTAAGATACGGAGTAGAACTGAGTCTTCCACGAAAGGGACATACTTGAAATGCTCTGCGATGAGCAAGCTACAGGTGTCAGGCTCGTGTCGGTGACGGACGGTCAATGCACCGACACAAGCCACGCGTCAGCCCCCTTCCGGATGCGCCACACTCAAAAGTCCCACCACCACCTACTCCGCCATGAACCGTCATGTGTGCGTGCATGGCTCGAGGCTAGGCACGGGTCAGAGCGGGTGGGTAGAACCATCAAGGTCAGGTGTTGGATCTGGAAGAAGCCCACGCCCTTCAAAACGCAGTCTTCGATCCGATCGCGGGTTAAAGTTAGAGCATAAAGTTATGCCATTGTCTGGGCCTCTCTGGACTCCCGGTAGCAGGCACATGTTCCCTTAGGGCAGACCAGCAACCGAATAACTGATTGATGCGTGTACGCCAAACGGGCAGCGATGCTATCATATGCCCAGACCCTCATGTGACCTGGACGGGTGGCGTTCGTCGACGACGGGTCGTCTTGGGTGTGTCCCCCGCTCGTCATGGCAATTGCACCAGAGCAGTGGTGGAACACACCATGGCGGTGAAATGGGAAAGCTGACTCGGATGTACGGCTAAGCTCCGAGGGTTCCCTGGGGACCTACAAGTGCCTACCCGGATCGAGAGCGAGGGGGGCGCCTGTCTGCCTGTGTGTTTGTCACTTGTGCGTTATCTGATAAGGCGGAACCCCCATCAAGGGACTCCGTCGTGCCAGAGAGGGAGCAGGGCGAGCGAGGTTCCCCGCACCATCAGGGCGGAGCAGGCCAGCAGTCCCTCGCAGTGGCCTAGGCCTGAGGTACAGGAGAGACAAGCAGGATCGCTGCCTGCACTCAACAGAAAAGCAATCGTCATGGAGCTCGTAAAAGGGCAGCCCGCGCTGTGCCGCGGCAGCTGGGGGGACTGAGGCATCCATGGAGGCCACCACAGCCGGAGCTCAAGCAGCTCAAGCTCTCTTGCCGCCTCACTGCATCCCCTCCCCCCCATTCCGCGCCAGGCTGGAACCTTGGAAACGTGACCTGTTCCTGAGTACATGCATCGCCTAGGGAACCCGCCAGGTGGCGTTGATTGGCCGCTCCGCCTTGCGCTAAGCCGATCTCGGGTGGTCAGTCAGTGGTGGGAAGCTGGGGTCTGGTGTTGTTATCTGTGTGGAGAAGGGGCGTGGACGTAGTGCACAGTGTTATCGTCTGTTTCGGCGCTGGTTTGTGCTGCCCTGTGGGGTGCTGTTGCCCGCTGCCAGCACGGTGCGTCGGTCCTGATAGTACGGCCAAGTGTCAGCCACCCTGGTGCCTGGATGCGTCACACACTCCAAGCTGCGCACGCGCACGCAATGAACGAACGGCTGGCTGGCTTCGCCGCCTCCGGCGGTTTATCTAGCCAGAGCTCCCTCCTCCTCCTCTCAACCTCCTCCATCACTCCTCCATCTCCTCACCATCCATCCTCCTCTCTCCCCCCCATCCAGCTCCATCACCAATCAAGCCTTGTTTGTCGTGTCCCTTTGTTGTCGAGTTCCCCGTGTCGCAGGTAGACCAGCTCGATTTCTGCCCAGCATGAGAGTCATCGTCAGTGCCGTTGCCGTGGCGGCTGTTGTCAGCGCCACCCCCTCCTTCTCAACCGAGACCATCCACGGAGATGCCGCACCCATCCTCTCGTCCTCCAACGCCGAGGCCATTCCCGACTCGTACATCGTCAAGTTCAAGGACCATGTGAGCGAGTCATCCGCCTCGGACCACCACTCGTGGGTCCAGAAGATCCACGACTCCAAGGGCGCCGAGCGCCTCGAGCTGCGCAAGCGCGGCCAGGAGCCTCTTGTCGAGACGACCTTTGACGGTCTCAAGCACACCTACACTCTCGGTGGCTTCCTCGGCTACTCTGGCCACTTTGACGAGGCCACCATTGAGGAGGTCCGCAAGCACGCCGATGTACGTCGCCCCACGCAAGTCTCCCATCAGTTCAGCTGCTGACCATGATCCCCCCCCAGGTCGAGTTTGTCGAGAAGGACTCGATCGTCCACACCATGGTGCCCGTCCAGACGGAGGCCCAGACGGAGGACAAGTGCGATGGCGAGGTCGAGAAGTCGGCCCCCTGGGGCCTCGCTCGTGTCTCGCACCGTGAGAGCCTGAACTTTGGTAACTACAACAAGTACCTGTTCGCCGACAACGCTGGCGAGGGTGTCGATGCCTACATCATCGACACCGGTACCAACGTCGACCACGTCGACTTTGAGGGCCGCGCCAAGTGGGGCAAGACCATCCCCCAGGGCGATGAGGATGTCGATGGCAACGGCCACGGCACGCACTGCTCGGGTACCGTCGCCGGTTCCAAGTACGGTGTGGCCAAGAAGGCCCACGTCTATGCCGTCAAGGTCCTCCGCTCCAACGGCTCCGGCACCATGTCCGACGTCGTCAAGGGTGTCGAGTGGGCTGCCCAGTCTCACCTCGAGCAGGTGAAGAAGGCCAAGGACGGCAAGCGCAAGGGCTTCAAGGGCTCTGTCGCCAACATGTCTCTCGGCGGTGGCAAGACCACTGCCCTCGACCGCGTCGTGGATGCCGCCGTCGAGGCCGGCATTCACTTCGCCGTCGCCGCCGGCAACGACAACGCTGATGCTTGCAACTACTCGCCCGCTGCCGCCGCCCAGGCCGTCACCGTCGGTGCCACCGAGCTCGGCGACGCCCGCTCGTACTTCTCCAACTACGGCAAGTGCACTGACATCTTCGCCCCCGGCACCAACATCCTGTCCACCTGGATCGGCTCCAAGTACGCCACCAACACCATCTCCGGCACCTCCATGGCCTCGCCTCACATCTGCGGCCTCCTCGCCTACTACCTGTCTCTCCAGCCTGCCACCGACTCGGAGTACTCGGTCTCTCCCATCACCCCCAAGAAGCTCAAGGCCAACCTGATCGCCGTCGGCACCATCGGCGCCCTCTCCGGCATCCCCAGCGACACCCCCAACATCCTCGCCTGGAACGGCGGTGGCTGCAACAACTACTCTGCCATCGTCGCCAAGGGCAGCTACACTGCCAAGGGTGCCGCCAAGAAGACCACCTTCAACTCTGTTGTCGAGGATGTCGAGGAGGTCATCCAGAAGGACTTTGCGGTTGTCGCCGACAAGGCCAAGAAGTTCTCCTCCAAGTTCCACAAGATTGAGGAGGAGCTCAAGGAGCTTCTTGATGAGGTCTCCCTGTAAAGGGTCTGCCTCGGCGCGGTCGTCTTTGTTGGACACGGAGCTTCGGCATCATATTTTTCTTATCAGTCAGGAACACGGCATCATCATTGGGATTTTTAGCATTCTGCTAGGAAGGATTGGTGTTTTGTTGTACAGCTAGGGCTACAGTAGCACGGAACGGATTTCTTTCAGTCAATCATAACACAATTCACTTGACCACTAGAACGCAATTGTGAACGTGCTGCCTTCTGTGTCTCGTAGTGGCAAGACGGCCAGTTCATGTCATGACATTATGCTATGACCTGGAGGAGGGTGGAATACGGTAAGACGGACGATGTTCGAGAATGTCATGACATTATGTAAGGTTAACTTGTAGGATGGTGAAATTGTGTAAGAGAAAAGATGTTCAACAACGTCATGACTCTGGTTCGCGTCCGCTTCCCGGGTCTTCCGACAAGCGCGTCGACCTGTCTACGACGTTTGGTGTAACTGTATGGCTGGCCCTCGCAGCGGAGTCGTCGTCGGCTGTCGCAGTAGCGTCTCGCGGCTTCGACTCGGCTGCGCCCGTCGTCTCCTTCACGGCAGTCGTGTCGGCGGCCTTCCACGGAGTCTCCAACGGAATGCGTGCTGATGCCTCCTCGCTGGTGTCCCCCTCGTCCTTCTCGTTCGGGGGGGCCCCAGGCGAGGTCGCCTCGGCAGCCCCCTCCCCCTCCCCCTCCCCCTCCCCCTCCCCGCGGCCATCGTCAGCATCCAGCCGCAGCGCGCTCTCGACCTCGCGCGTCAGCTTGTCGACCTCGTCCCGCATCGCGTCCTCGCCCTTCTCCGCCGCGGCCCGCTGCCTCGCGGCCTCCTTGTCGCCGACGACGCGGCGCCACAGCGCCTCGAGCTCGTCGCCCCAGCCCAGCAGCGCCGCGAGCTTGCGCACGCCGTCATCGCAGGCGCCGAGCTCGACGACGTCGTCGGCGCGCTGGCCGACGCGGCCGACGCGCTCCCGGTTCAGCAGCAGGCGCGGCACGCCGGGGCGCGCGTGCTCGGGCAGGCCGGCAAAGGGGTAGACGCTGAGGCTCGTGCCGAGGACGACGACGAGGTCGGCGCGCGCGGCGAGGTGCGTGTTGTCGCGGAAGCGCGCCGGCAGGGCCTCGCCGAAGAAGACGATATCGGGCTTCACGAGGCCGCCGCTGCACGCCTCGTCCGCGCAGCGCGGCACCACCTCGTCCAGCACGTGGCGGCGCATGGCGTCGTCGGGGAAGGGCGCCTGGCAGGCGATGCAGCGCTGGGTGGCGAAGCTGCCGTGGGCCTCGATGATGAGGTCGCTCGGCACGCCGGCGCTGCGCTCGAGGCAGTCGATGTTTTGGGTAAAGTTCATGAGCAGCAGGCCCTTCTGCGCGAGGAGCGCGATGAAGGCGTGCGACACGGTCGGGTGGAAGCGGCCCGGGTAGAGCTCCTTGGCGAGGCAGTAGAAGGGTTCTGGGTGTTTCTGGAAGTAGTCAATGTCGAAGACGGCCTCGGCGTAGGGGAGCTTGAGCCGGGCCAGGTTGGCGTAGAGGCCTGTGCCGGGGGAGCGAAAGTCGGGTACTACGGACGGGGTCAGCGGGTCAGCGGCTCGGCGAAGAAGCAGATGTGTGTTTTCAACGTTCGAGAAGGTGGTGCGATCGGAGGCTGGCTTTCGATCCAAGACAAAGACAAAAATACCCAGCACGTACTTCCCGCGGCGGTGGAAATGCCGGCACCGGTCATGACGACGATGCGTTCGGCTTTGCCTTCCTTGATGTAGTCGGCGACGGCCTTGAGGTTGCGGCCGGACAGGGTCTCAGGCGTGAGACTCTCGTCCGCCATGGTGGATTCCTCGTTTCCCATCTTGTGGTTGCGCTTGGGGGCACGGGACGCCTTGGGATGGCGGTCACGGCGTCGGCGACCTATTTTGGCGACGTTGCAGTAGTTTCGTCAGTTGATGATGGGTCATTCGATTGAATCACAGCAGCGCCGTGTGAAGGTGGATGAAGGAGCTTTCCAGGTGGCCGGCCGTGTGAGAATGCTGTGGAGGTGAGCAACCGGCGGCGGGCAGTTGTTACATCATGACCCACATTCGGTGTGCTCGGTAAGATGGAGACATGAGCAGAGGTAGGGGTGAAGGAGGCGTATTGGTGGTTCTTGAATCTCTAGGTCTCAACCGTATTTTTCCTATATCCTGCCAAACGTACTGACGACGTATCGCACTTAGATGTGTACACTGCATGTGAACGCAGGTGGACATGAGCTTGTTCGTGGCGGATGGAGGCGAGATGACATGGCACCCACGTAGTGCTTCAGTCTGGATAGAAACCCTGGGACAGAAACTCTGAACAGACACTGAACAGAAACACTGAACAGAACACTGAACAGAAGCATCGTTCCACCCTTTTCCACCATGGTCCAAGGCAACCACTCGCCGTCAACCCGTCCAAACTTGCTTTTCCTCGGCCACGAGAATCACGAGACGAGGTGGCCCAGGCCCCCGTTGGGCGCTGTGGCCCAGGCCCCCGTCGGGCGCTGTGGCCCCCTGAAGCCCCTGTAAAAGCGGTGGCTACAGCCTGCCCAACCAACCCCACTCAGCTTCAGCTCGGGCAGTGTGGTCCAGTCAGTATAAGAGAGGAATCGTGTGTGTGATGTCCAAGACGACTCATCCTCTGACCGACAGTCGACACCGCCATTCTCTGTCCGAACTTCAACACCATGGCGTCTCAAGAAGCAAAAGTGCTGTCCACCGAGCCTCTGGTACTGGTCACTCGAACGAACCCGACAGCGCATGAACTGACCCCCTCACTGACGCTCGCCAGCCCGAAGCGGAAGCCGCCTGGATCAAGCTCACGAAGCTCACCTACCGAGACCCGGCCGGCCAGACCCGAACATGGGAGTCGGCCGAACGGCGCACGCGGCCCAGTGGCAGCGACATTGACGCCGTCGGCATCGTCGCCATCATGCAGAAGGCCGCGGGCCCGGCCATCGTCCTGCAGAAGCAGTACCGCCCGCCCATCGACGCCATCTCCATCGAGGTCCCCGCCGGCCTCGTCGATGCCGGAGAGACGCCCGAGCAGGCGGCGGTCAGGGAGCTCAGGGAGGAGACGGGCTTCGTCGGCGTCGTGGACGAGACGTCGCCCGTCATGTGCAACGGTAGGAACCCTCTTCTTCACCACCTGCGCATCTTGTCCTGGTGTCGCTGTTGCCAACACCCAACCCCCATGCCCCGAGACGACAGCGACTGACACGCGAGACGTGGGAACAGATCCCGGCTTCTGCAACACCAACACCAAGATGGTGCACGTCACCATCGACATGTCGCTGCCGGAGAACCAGAACCCCGTGCCGCAGCTGGAGGAGAGCGAGTTCATCGAGGTCTTCACGGCGCCGCTAGCAACCCTCTGGGACGAGTGCAAGAGGCTCGAGGCCGAGGGGTACGCCATTGACGCCCGCGTCGGGACCCTGGCCGAGGGCATCGAGCTGGCCAAGACGTGGAAGCTGTAGTGGCAGACATGCAGCCCTTTTTTTTTTTTTTTTTTTTTTTTTTTTTTTTTAGTGTCATCATCAAAATACTCATGAGAGACGGGGGGCTTCCCTTACGGTTGTATATTTTACACAAGACCAAAATAGAAATTCAGGCCAAGAAAGATGAGAAGAAAAACGCGTCACAGCCTGCCCTCGCGCTTGAGCCCCTCATACAGCGCCAGCGCCGCAAGGCACTTGGCATCCCGCGCCCCAACCCGCCACAGCTGCGCAAACGGCACGAGCAGCAGCGTGATCCTCTCGCCCTCGTCCCTGCACCCCGTCAGCTTGCCGTGCCACGCGTCGAGCTGCGCCCGCGGCACGCGCCGCTCGTGGCTGTAGATGGTGATGTGCTCGTCGCAGCCGCCGGCCGAGGGATACATGGCGC